ATAGCAGTAATTATTCCGAGCATAGGACCGCCTCGTAACACTTCACCACCGTGACCCTTGGATTTGAGCTGAGGAGAGACCACCATCGTCGTATATATTGTATACCGATTAGTTTCTGTTCCTTAACTTGTTAAACTACTGTACTATCTAGAGCCAGTATGTCTACGTCCTCGTTGAGTGCTCCTGAAGTCGTACGGATCAACCCATGTGCTGTATCAGACGAGAAGCACAAGCTGGTGAGGTTGTATCGTACTGTTCTCTCGAATGATTGGAGTGTGTAGATACGAGCTGGTGAGTTATTACGCGAAGGCGAGCTCGTAGCTTTCCCTACCGAGACTGTCTACGGTCTGGGCGCTAATGCTCTCAGTGATGAGGCGGTTGCTGGGATATACCAAGCGAAAGGCAGACCAAGCGATAATCCTCTGATAGTGGGATACTTACACCCAGTTATGGCCGATTTATCTTGGCTGCAGGTTCACACTACGTGTGCGGCTGATGCACTCCGTCTCAGCCAAACACCTGAGGACCCGATTGCAGTAAAGCTCGCCAAGACATTCTGGCCTGGTCCTTTGACGATGGTACTCCCTGTCGGCAGCAATTCGGGCATTGCGAAGAGAGTTACAGCTGGATTGGATACGGTTGGTGAGAGCAATGGTAATGAAGTAGGAAGATTCCCATTGGTCATTGTAGGTCTGAGAGTTCCATCGCATCCAGTTGCTCACGCTGTGATAGAAGCCGCAGGGGTGCCAATCGCGGCTCCTAGCGCAAACACAAGTGGGAAGCCGAGCCCTACAGAGGCGTTTCATGTAGTGGCAGATTGGAAGGTGAGCATATGGTACATCATAGTATATCAGGTTTACGAGGATATGGAACATAATGCTGATGCTGGACGCAAGGAAGTGTCGATGATTGTTGATGGTGGAGCTTGCGATCACGGTGTTGAAAGCACTGTCGTCAGGATAATGGGTAAGTCCTCTCCCGCTCTTTTGCCTCTTCTGATCGATCACTCCATTATGACACTGTTCTATAATTCCACCAATTAGCTTCCGTTGACTTGTAGATTCCAGCCACGTTGTTATTTTGCGTCCTGGTGCGGTCACCCTCGAGCAACTGCGTGCATGCCTTGAGGGTATGGCGGTAGTTGACATTCCCAAGCCTCTAGCAGGAGCTGAATGCCCTCGAGCGCCCGGTATGAAGTACAGGCATTATGCTCCACAAGCCATGGTTGATCTGGTATACGATAAGGACGAGATACTGCGAGAAGCAGCATTATCCGAACCCCACACAGTTGTCATTGCCTTTGACGACTTGAACCTCAATGGTGCCCGTGTTCGTTCCCTTGGCCCTAGATCTGATCTCTCAGTTGCATGTCACAGGATCTTCTCACTATTTAGAGAATGTGATGATTCATTGCACGCCAAACGAATTGTACTGGACGCAAGGTTCGATCAAACAACTGGTATTGGCCGTGCTTTGTTCAATCGTATCGAGAAAGCCTCTCACCACTGAAGCCTGCCACACTACCCACTTGGAAAGTATACCGCTATCATTCTCGCACTGTATAGTTGCGTTCTCAGCGATCTGCTTTCTCAGCTCACTGTTGTTGTAGTGAGAACTGTCATCTCACTGTCGTCCGATCTATCAGGCACGGGAGCACAATAGCAGTTCTTGACCTTACTTTTATATCATGGGTGGTCACGGTGGCATCAACATTCTCCATGAGAAGAAGTGGCATACATACAATACATCCAATCGTATACGGGTATAAAAGACCTATCGTGTCATCAAGCACCGAGCGCCAGGTTGTGAGGTCAGGTGGAGAGGGACGAGCGGAATGCCAGGGAGCAGGCTGCAGCGGAGGTGCGAGCGGAGCGTCAATCCCGGCTACGGCGCAAAGTCGAGAGTATTCGATCTAAGACCTCGCGCAATCGAGGTAAGAAAATTCTAAGTTCTATACTTGTTGAGGAGAAAGTTGAAGGTAACTCGGATGACAGTGATTCTCCACCAAGATCGAGCGGATCGAATATAAACCTTTTTGCGGAAGAGGAGAAGGAATGGAAAGCTGCTGTCAAGGACCACAACAAGCATATTCGGGGACAGGAGATCAATAATCAGTTGGCTGGCCGGAGCAAGTGAACTTCTCCCCTTGATTATCGTAAGTTCATCACGTAATCCTATGTAGGAAGCGACCTATGTCGGAGTTTGATGAGATGGCATCGTTGAAGCCTTGGTATTTACAAACACGGAAATCGGTACGCACAACTCCCTCATCGCGTGGCCGCGAAGACGCTAGTGTTTCTGGTAAAGTCCAGGAAGGTGGCAGGACTCTTTCCGACTCGACGAGTCCATTGACGTGAGTAGTCATGGCAGGTGTAGAACCGATCCTGCTACGTATATTACACATTTCAGGAAGTCTAAGCATAAACTAAAACATCGACATTCGACTTCTAGCCGTGAAGAGCTCCGTGCTAAGCGTTTAGAAAGGGAACGCAAAGAGCACAAAAGGGCTGAGATCATCAAGGAAAGTATACGATGAATTGTTATATTTTGCGTTGAAATGGGTCGGATGTGATAATCAGACTCAGTATTGAGCGTTCCCAGAAGGTTGGAGCATATTTGCATTCTGCCGCTTTGTGAATACATTCTTATTGAATGTGGATTCTCAGTGAATAGCTTGAAGGTTTGTGGAACCGCGATCTCCTCTGATGGGTCTATTACGGGTATGGTGAGTGCTCAATATGCACTGCTCATGAATGTACTTGATCACATCATCAACAGTTTGGCATGCCTTCCCATAAGGCGCGATCACATTCTCGTGACTCGTCCCGTTTGCAGCCATGTCCCACTCTTCACCTTCCCGCGTTAACGAGACCTACGATGCAGTTGTGAACAAAGCTGATGCTGTCAGTGAGCCTAGTAGTCCGACTGGATCAGTCGCTACCACGGCTGCTAGCTCCGTTGTTGTTGGAGGTGGAGGATATAACGCAATGGAAAAAGGCATTAGTTTGGGGTAAGGAATGGTCAATTTGGAATATGTAGGGTATGATTTTCTGTGTCATCCATGCATGGGTGCGTTATATCCGGTTAATGGCATACATCAAGATGGGGTATATCCGGGAATGCATCCAATGAACCGAACGATGAATTCTCCTCTCCAGGTCATTCTTCATGACCGCATTGAATGCGATGATAACAATTGGTCTCTCCGTGCCCTTCATGTTCACCACCGCTGGTTGGTTGTCCATAGTATTCCAAATAGTCGCCGCTTCAGCAATTTTCCTATGTGTGTTACTCGTCAGAGCTTGTATTGACAACCCCAAGGTACTATATGAGTCTATTGATGCTGAACGGGTTATCCCCGCTCAACGTCTATATCCCAACCTTTAGATCAAAAAGTATGGCGAAGAGCATCATGTTCCTGTCTTCGAGAGGGAGTATGCTTTCCTGGCTGGTTATTGTGGAGGCAACACCGGCCGAACGGCCGTCACAGTGGTGAGTACAGGGGATTATGTGCTCGGTCAGTATAGTAGCCGATAGAGCCTTCAATATCAGCTTGTGCACACTTACTCGACTTGTCAATCCGTGATATATTGTTGGGAATAACATTCCCTCTCTTTACTGGCGTGCCTCCAATGGAGGGTCCTCGTTACACCTGGCTAGCCTTTTTCTCCACGTAACAACTGTGGACTTGTACGATCCGCGTCTGTCAGCTAGAGCTGAGTTGTTTCAGGTTGTCTCTCTCGAGTTCTTCTTCACATTGGCCGCCAACATAATCGCCATTGGTACATGTGCCAACATGTTGGTTAAGGAGATGAGCAGTAGGTTGAGGAAAAGCCAACACTCATGTCGATGCTCCTTTGTCAGTCGAGGTGTGGATCATCATCTTTGCCGCCCTATCACTGTCTTTTGTACTCCTCCCTTGGTTCAACGAGATATCCCGTGTAATGGGTATCGCAGGAGCCTTCGGAGCCGTCCTTGGCGCCGCGCTTTGGGTAGGAACTAACTGGCTCGTCGCACAGGTCATGTTTAGTAAATTGTTGGCAACACAATATTGCAGCTAGACGAGATGAGTCCCGGTGATCCGTTGAAAGAAGTTGATACGTCGAAAGTGATTCAGTCGATCTATTTCGACGACTCAGCCCGAGATCTTCGTGCGAAAGATTGAATCAATCAAGAACTAGGCTTCTCAGCCGTGGTGTTTATGAGTGTCCCAATCCCCTCAGGTCGCATCTTCCATCATGATTCTTCCTGAAACCAACATTGAAGCTAATCTAATCCCGAAAGCCCCTTACCCCTCCAACTTGATCACTGCACTTGGGATAGCAGTGTTCTCCTCTGGAGCAGCACCGTCTTTGCCACCCTTCTATGGTGTTGTTAAGAGTAATATTCTACTCTCTCAGCACAGGTTCAGCAACTGCCTTTTTGTCAGATGCTACTCCTCGAAAGATCGATCTATGTATTCTCCTCGCGCAGATAGTCTCTGTGCTCTACGTGTTCATGTTGGGTATTGCCGGAATGCAGATATGTGATGGATCATGTGAACAGTTCTACCTCGTAGATCTCCTGAGTAAGAAGAACAAGATTTTCTTATGCTGCTTCGCTCTGTTTATCGAACACTATTCCATGATTGTTCGCTCAGGCTATCCGACCAGTGTTATACCTAGCTGGTTCATGTATTGGATCGTCATAGTGCAACTAGTCCGCATCTTTGCGATGAGCCCGGTATTGCTTGTTCCTATCATGGTCAGCACTGAGGGCATGATCTCATCGGCTATGGTAGGTCACTAGAGAGTATTCCTGCCACGGGTTCCTTTCAATGAGTCTTTAAGGAACGACGTAGTTGCTTTCTTTGGTTTTAGCAAAGATTCAGCTGGGGACCGAGTATGTTAAAGCACAACGCTTGGAGATTCACCTGGAGGATAATTATAGTCGCGGCTATCGCGATCACCTCCATAGGCGCCCAGGCAGAGATAGCCTACATTCAGGCCATTGCCGGCACCTTGTTATGTTCATGTGAGTGACAAGTTGGCTAAATTATACGTTTTGAGTATTCGGCTGGAATTTGACAGACAGTCAACGGCTCACTGAATCAACGATATTCACCATTCATTATATCCACTGATTTCTTGTCTCGATCTCAGGTGATCTCTTTCTCTTCCCTCTCTGGTTCTACTTGGTTATTGAGCAGCCGAAGGGTTCCAAGCGTATCCTCGCATGGATCGGTGTTGTTCTAGCTGTCGCCTTCGCCATCGTGGGCACGGTCTTTTCGGTCATGGGCATGTTCGTTTAAGCAGGTTGCTTCCGGCATGCTAGTCCAGCCTCGGTTGGTTTATGGTCCTTATTTCTTTTGCTTATCTGAATCTTTCGCCCTTTTATGGAAGACCTCCATTGATGATACCTGACTTGACCCAATGCGTCACTATGATGATTGGTCGAGCTCGCTGTTTTCCGCATTCTATGTCTTTGTCTATGGTGGGAATCTGAATGACTCTTGCAGCTTGTCACACCTCTCGGAGGTCCAGCTGTATATCTCGTTTCTTGTGACATTCATTATTCCCTTTCCCGAGATGAATAGACAATGATGTACTCTGTACTGGTAGCTGTAATCGGGTTGTACTCATAGGCTACCAGTTGTATCTGGGTGGCTCTATATCCCACTAGCGCTAACGCAATAGGATAAAAGTCGGCTACCTGTCATTATGATGTTACACGGTAGTGTTACGAATTGCGTGATGCGACCTCTTATCCCAGTACTGCTTATCGTTCCTGTTCTTGCGATCGTAAAGGTATCTCCATCGATCGAGGGTTTTCCACTTCAGATGATACATCGTGTGTTGAATTAAAACATAAAAGTGAGCGGTCTAGCGTGAATCACTAACCGATAACTTACAATTAGTTCGGAGTTTCACAGAAATTCTGAGAAATTAATTCTCGTATTCTGTACCTCCTTCATCGAACCTGGTTTGTTCTAAGATGTTGTACTCCTTGAGGCAAGCCCTAAGAGAGACACTTTCGAGAGTTATGGCACATAACTTATGGGTAGCACACCGCTGCTACATTAGCCATACACACTGTTTAACAATGTGTTGAACAATGATTATTAGAGGGATACGCTCGACAGCGTTCTTGGCTATTGCGAATTTCAATCGTGAGAGCGTGTACAACTTCTGTCACGGAACAGTATGACGCCGTGCTCTGTTCGGATTATCCGGACATCCTTCCGACATAACTAATGGTCAATTGGCCCAACATTATGATGTCTATCAATCATCCTAGTTAAAAGTTCGCGTAATGTCGTGTACACCATCGCTCCTTCCATTGGAGGGCCTCCAACAACATCCGGGGAGTGAGGGGACGAAGACAGTGCAAAGACAACGATAGTCGTGTTCTCGAAGTGGTGCCTATGAGACACTTGGAGGCACTAGCTGCAAGTATGCAGTATGCGCAAGTGCGTAGGATAAATATATGAAAACCTCCTACACTGCTCAATTCCTTCAAGTTATAACGATCGAGGATTAACGAGGTGGATAGTGGAAAACGAACGGAATCATCGAAGGAGATTGAAAAACCGGCGGTAACGCTCGACTAGGAAAGATGAGTAATATAGTAAAACACAGATAATCAAGTTACTCTCGATCCAGTAACTCATATAATACGAGTCATATGATATGACTCATATCTCTACCGGGCTGGCGCCTCCCAAGACAGTGTTGTCCCCGTATCGGAAAGTGTTGCCAACACTTTCCGATGCGGAGACTCAAAGCATGTTTTCTTGTGGCAGAAAGTGGTCGATGCCTGAAACTTTCCTGGTATCATCCCTTTACAGTCGAAGCATGACCACATCTTGTCCAGGAAATATTCTCCAGGTTTGGAGTTTTCGTGGTCCAACACCTCGGTTGTTAATAACAACGAAGGGTGTTGGATGTACAGCTGAGGGACGAAATGTATAGGCGTGGCTTGTGGTCTTATAATTCCCGTGCTGTGCAGTACTATATTGATCACAACCAGTCCAGGTAAGCCATCATGGCTTAGCCATGGAGGTCGTGTGCTATTAAAAGTTGAGCATTCGGGTTTCTACATCTTTCAGGTTCTACGGTCACACTCGCGGTTCAGCTCTGGCTTTGACTCCTGAGCAGCTTCATAGGTTGGAGTACGTAAGGCCTGCGAGGCCTCATTACTCCCAAGGAAGCACTATCACTGCGGCTGACCTTGACGAGTTCGGCATCCCTTCCGATCCGGCTTTTTCTCCCGTTAAGCGCGTTGAGGCCATAGCGAAGGTGGGATTTTGGTTTTTTCCTCTTTGCGTAGTTTTGTATGTTTCTCTTTTTCTCTTCATTCTTCTTTTCAGGTACTTCAGCGCTTTCATCCAGACAGTGTCGTTCTTAACGATTGGATCAGAGGGTTGTTCCCGGAGGACTGGCACGATCAAAACAGGAAGGCCTTCCGCTTCCAGCGGTTCCGTCGACTGGCCCGCATGCTCGTTCTCTTTGGGTTCGGCGATCATGGT